GGAGGACCGGTCGGCCCTGTCAGGGGAGCCGGGGCCCAGCGTCCGCACCGGGCGGCCGCGCTGCTCCGCGCCTGGCAGGCCCCGCTCTCCCCGCAGGCCCCGGGCAGCGGCGCTTGCGGGGAACGCACGGAGCTACCTGAAATAACGTTCCTGGAAATAACGTTCCTTGGTGCCGTTACCCCCGCGGGAGCCGCTCCGCCGCCCGTTTGTATCGGGGAAGGTGCTTTAGAAGCCCCGCCGGGCCCGGCCCGCTGCGGCCTCGGGCTGGCCTCACCCCGGGTACTTCACTCCTGCCACACACTGTCCTCAGAACTCGGCTTGGCTTGTTCTTGCCTCAAAATCACCATCTCCCCGGAGAAAACAGGGCTCCTGTGGCCAGTACCTGCCGCACAGCAGCAAAAGAAAATACCCAGAAACGTGAAACACCGGGTAGAGAGAGAGGGGGGCTCTGCTCTGCCACCTGCCTAACCTGGTTTGGCTCTTTCGTGCCTCAATAAAACGGATAAAACACCCCTCTGAAGCGGCATGTGAAAGCTGCAGGGCAAGAACTGGGAAAGGGCAATTTTGGAAAGTCTGGAGTGTGTAAATTAAGAAAACTAGAACGTCAAGTAGCCATCCTCCAGCTCTTTCTGCCCACACGTCACAGACCTTCACTACAAAATATATAATGAAAGAATCGGAAGCTTCTTTCATGGACTGCTCATCTGACAAGGAACAAATACTCATTTTTGGCTCCAGATTAATGGATAAAGCCCCATTTTACATATTACTGAATGAATGAAGGTGTTAAATTTCAAGGATCTTCAGTTTATGCAGACTGAAAAAGTTTTTTTATGTAAACTGGAGCAAAGTATTTTACCACTTTCAGTCTCCTCACGGCCCTTACTCTTTTCTGATTTAGGAGAGTTACCTGCGTTACGATTGCTGGAACAGACTGCCCAGGGAGGGTGTGGAGTCCCCGTCTCTGGAGATCTTCAAGCCCCACCTGGATGCTCCTGAGTGATGTGCTCTGGGCAGCCCTGCTTTGGCAGGGGGGTTGGACTGGATGATCTCTAGAGGTCCCTTCCAACTCCAACAGTTCTGTGATCCTGTGATTGTATTAAATCTCAGCAGAAATCAAGGGTTCATTCCTTAGGAAAAAAAAAAACACAAACCAAATACGTATTTTTATGTTGTTTGTTACCTAGAATACCCTGTTCTCCTATCTCAGGATCTGAAAGAAAGAAAGCTCTGCACCATACACAAATTAAACTCATTTGCAGGGAGGATGTGCTGGGAGCTGGCTGAAGTGCCAGCCACAGGAATGATACCTGCAGCAGGACCGGCTTTATTGCAGCCATAGATAATTCTGATTCTCTCTGCACTGCATCTGACTCTGCAGCTGAGATAATGCATGGGCAGAACTTCATATCTGAGGGACTAGTTTGGAGCATTTCCCTCTAAAACAAGGTTTGACTGACCGTCCCTGTCTCTTATC